CGTCCGTTGATTTTGCCGTCGTTTGATTTTGTACATAAGAGATAGTAATGAGTAAGAGAGTGAGAGGAAGAGAAAGAAAGATAGAAAGAGAGGACAAACGATACGCCTTAAACGATAACGGTACACCGATTTGAACGGCCAACGACATCCTTTGGCTATTTAAAGATCTACGGTGTAGAGAAATAGCAGCTTTAAAAATGTGGGAAGTGATGAAAAATAGTAATTTGGGAAATTCTTGAAACTGTAGAAAAGTAATCGATAAATAGACATCTTGAACATAAGATTTGTATAATGAAGGGTTAACCTATGGAGTTAAGATAATAAGCTACAAACTATTTCATCATTATTATATAACTAGCATAGTATATGAGAGAATTATCGATAAGTTCATTCAATAATTACGAAGTTTAGTAATTTCTTCACTTGCTCCCAGATTATAGATGTCTATCGTATTCAAATGGAACAGGTGACAATGTTTGGACAGAATGTGTCGTCGAAGTAGTTATCGCTATCAGTGAAACACTTGAATGTTTTAAGAATGAAACATGTACATACGATTCTGTCCTCAACAAATTGTCAAACTCAATTTAAAATAATTTATCGAACTCATTATTAATATAGGTTTATATTATTTATAGAAAATTAAATTATAAATTAAAGTTAAATAAATTCCTTATTTCCAGAATCGTTCACTTTCCATCACTTACTTTTTGTCAGTGCGAGCAAAACTTAATTTGAAATTCTATTTTTTATACTTATAATAAAATTTCAGGAAATATACATTACATATTTCAGGGAATTACATATTTATTTATACATTACATATTTAATTATATCTTTATACGAAACACTTGGATAATTAAAAAAAAATCTAACAGTTTCTTGCATCGATATTTCTTCCATATATCTTGAATTGCATTTATAATGCTAATTTGTCGAATATTATTGCTGATGGAGATATTAGAGAAACGAAAATATTTGTTAATACATAAAATTTTGATTAAGCTTTATATTATTTTCGAACTTAACGAGTTATGCGTGTCCGTCGTCATATAGAAACCAGGAATAAATTAGAAAATAAGTTACGGGAGGCTGACGGAAAAAATTTCGTTAGTGGGCACGACGCGAGCGATTTGTTGCACGCGATGAGAACTTATCAGGACGCGCATCGACTCGCATAAAGCCAAACATCCGCAAATCGGAATCACACGCACGCACGCACGCACGCATGCACGCGCGCACGCATGAGAGGGTTAACGGCAAACGGTATAAAACTAGCGGGAATCCACAATTCTAACCCACTCGCCTTGATTCATACGGAAAGTCAACGGCTGTTTTGGCCCGATTTACTTTTACGAGCTTGATTGAACGACGTTAAATGCATATTGAAATTGTGCACACTGATTCTATCGACTTAATTTATTTTGCATTTATCCAACTATGTACGGGAGATTATCTTTTTGGTACATCAAACATAAATTATATATATAATTCAATAGAAGAAAAAATTATACATTATATAGGTAATATTTAAAATAATTCGATAGTTTTTTAAACTATTGAATGTAATTATTTTCGGTTAAAATTACCATTATAAAACACAACCGAAAATAATTACATATAATAAAAATCAACTACTATTAAAATTATTTGCAAGCAAACATAATCGAGCGATTTAAATATGCCATAAAGAGTGTGATGCACTTTTATATGAAAAAATGATTATTTTTTAAGGAGCTTAGCAGGAATATTAAATGCTTAACTGCAATATTAATTTACGCAAAATGATAAAAGACAAGTACATTGAACATATATTTCAATGAAAAAATTTCCGTTGGAAAGATTTAATTTTTAATAAGAACAAAACTATCTTTAAATTGGAAGATAATATTGTTCTTATTTGTCGAATCTAATTTAACATAATCTGTAAGTTTTCCCAATTTGTTATACATAAAAATTAATTTTTTTTTTTATTTTGAGATATTTTTAATCTCTACGTATTTTAAATACCGCATCTATTTAATATTTAATATTAAACATGATTTGCATCCATTAATTCGTATATATCGTATACATCAATCTTTTTCGAATTATGAATTACTTAAAATTAAAAAAAAAGACAATTGTAATTTACTTATATTACCTATATAATTTAATAACTTATCTCAATCGTTATAAAATATTGCAATAGTTAACTTCTCGAAAAATTTCTAGTAAAAATTAAACATATTTAAGTTTTTTTAACAATAATACGATATGCATTCCATTTAGTATACACCCCGTATGTATATGGATAAAAATAGAGTTTGGCTGCAACGCTGCATCGAGAATTGTAATTTGGAGCATACAGAGTTCATCTCCTCGTAGGAGGAGCGCGCTGCCCCTCCTTTCTCCTTTGCCCCTTTCTCCGTCATCCTTTGTACGCCTTCCTTCTTTTCCGTTTCCTAACCGCGCCGGTTCTCTATCGCTGTGACGTAACACCGCAAGGTCTTACGGTATCTCCGGCAACGGGCCCACATTACGTGAGTCTCCGTACACGCGACCCGCATGTACGTAAGTACCTGCGTAGAAGAAGATCCGCTAACCGTCGCTTCTTCTCGTTCTCGTGTATCTTCCTTTGAAGTGCGAACGTCTCCTTTAACTCATTCACACACTAACACATCGCAGATGGAAAGAACAAACTAGTAGCAAAACTTACTTTTTCGTATTATGAATTAACGATTAATAATTATTTCAATTATTGCATGTGTTTTATCAAAATCCGTAATTTTGACGAAAGAATATTACCAAGTCGAAAATATATTATTAAATGTATAATTAAATTTTACAATTTCTACAGATTATAGGCTGAAATAATGTCGTATATTTTTACTGCAACCTCCACCGAGATGGGTTACAATGTAAAGCTATTTATATATTGTTACAAAACGTTGCAAAGTAAATATTGCAACACAAGATATTGTAAGGTGTTTATATAATTGATATGTATTTGATAAGAAATATATCTAAACCAAACTGATTATAAGTATATCTAAACCAAACTGATTATAAGTATATCTAAACCAAACTGATTATAAGTATGTATTTAACTTCCGATAATTCGATCAAATAAAATTTCTTTTATGACATTAGATATTATATATATCTCAACATTTCCAAATGTAGTTATACACATAACCCCAGATATGATAAGCAAATTTAAAAATAGCGTCAACTTCCCGAATCGATATATTTAATTCAAAACTCCAGAGTCAATATTCATCAAATATTCCAAAATGAGCTTAATATTTTAAATTATTTTAAAATGTAGTCACAAATAAAATATTTCGAGACGTCATTCACGATTTCAAGATATAACGAACGCGTTTCTCAATTGAAAATACCACGATATCTTCGATTCTTGAAATATTCGACTCGAGAAACGCGAAGTTCGATAAAAATAAAGCACGAAGATATATAGAGATGCATCAATTCATTCCTGATCAATGGCCGCGCGCAGTGGGTTCATCGGCTGCTGTTGTTCGGCGATCGGTGCGCACGGCCGGCCGACAGGTGAGCGGCGCACGTACGCGCGTATACATATGCGAGATACAGTTAGGAGTACCGTTCTGAAAATGCAACGGCTCGAACGTCTCGCGCCGGGCCCGCTCGATGCGAGGCTCGCGGGGCCCCGAGGAGAGGCCGATTTCGCGCGCGGTTCCCCTCCGTTCGCGTCCCGGAGACGGTATTAATGCGAACGGACACGCTCGAGTCACGCGGATCCGTTCGAAAGGGTGCGCGATAACGGTAGCGCGGTATATTCGCCGAGTCACTCGATAAAAACGCGGAGAGAAGAGGATCCTCCTTGCGGAAACGTATGAGTCGACCGACGAAATTAAAAGCTATCCACTGTCCGCCGTTCGGAAACACTTCTTGAGCCTCCGCTTTCACGAGTCGCACAGGAAACTCTTAGCAACCTGCTATTATCATAGCAGTTGTTATTACAATGTTATTTAATGAACCGAATGATTTAGTAACAATTTTCATCAGTATTTTTCCAACGATAAAGATATTATCAAATTTCGTGCTTTACTGGGCGGAAATACGACGCAATTTCGCTCTTTGTTTATTAATAAGAGACTGAATATTTAGTGGTGTTCAATGATAAGTCGCAGCATTTGGATCACGTCCATCAACGAGAAAGAAAGAAAACGACGGTAATAATAATGTCGTAGCGGGGATAACAACAGACAGGCTGCGTCGTAGCTCGTCCCATTGTTTATCCGATAAGACGGACTATCCTCCGACGAACTCGAGCTAGTAACGCGATCGAAGGAAGGGTAGCGGAGTCGCGCGGGAGTCGCACATGCGCATCGGTGTATCATCCCCTCGAATAGGCAGCTTTACGCCAGTTCTTCCATTCATGAGAAGAAACTTCCGCGCGTAATTCAATTTCATAAATACACCGCTTCAACGTTTGTAATGATATTGCAAGCGGAAACGTGCATTCGCGACGAAATGCATTAATATAAAAAGATTTAATGCGAATTCAATGCGAATAAGCGTGGTGAGAGCTATCGATCGTGCAAGAGGGAACGTAAACACGAGACACGCGTTCGCACGGAAGAGTACAATCACATCGGAGGAAAAGGGAACTCCACAGACGGACGAAGCGCATGATCAGATGTGCAAAATAATATTTCAAAATATAACATAACGTATAAATCGATAACACCGCGGAAGCATTCGTCATCTGTGTATTCGGCGTCGTTAAAGACGATACTACCGTATCATACGACGGTTCAAATCGTCACGGTCAATAATTAATTTATTATTTATCCCACGCATGGCGATCAGGCGTACGCTACTTTGTCCTCCACTTCCCAATTACTACCCTCCCTTGTTCTACATCGCGACTTGAATAATGACCTGAACATGGTAGGAAAGCCCTTCCCCGCCTCGCGGAGCGATATTGCGCAGGGGTGGAAACGCGTAACCCGGGCGGGGTGGCGATGGCGAGGGCTCCGGGGCGTAACGGGGTTGCTCGGGGGCGAGCCGAGTCCTCGGATGCCATCTGCTGGCGGTCAGTGCAAGCAGGAGCCACTGGTGCCCCGCAAAGTGCATAGCGCCGAAACGAAAGGACGGCAGGAAGGAAGGAAGGAAGGAAGGAAGGTTCGTGCCCGGGACGGAGGCCTCGATCGGGCTTCCTCCTGGACAGTCTGGGATCCAGGAGAGCGCGCAAGGGTGACGCACCGTCGGCGTGACGCGTTCGTCATCGTGCGCGCGAGCGCGCGCGCGCGCGCGCGAGACCCGTCTTACCAACGAAAAACGTAACGTGCCTTCGCTCCGCGACGACGAGCCGCGAGCCCACCACCGCTTCCACCGTCGACGCGCACGACGACGTGCCACGACGCGACGCGACAACCACAATCCTCGTTCCCGCTGTGCTGCTGCTACCCTGCTCGAGTGAGTCAGTTCGCAACCCCCGGCGTCAGCTCCGCCGGTGATGACGCGAGGATCGTCCAACGTTGTCGGGCACGAGACAGCGCGCTCCACGGCGCCAGGAGATGGTTCTCGTTGATCGTCCACGGAGGTAGCGCGTCCCGCGGACGTCCCGCAGGACAACGGGTTGGCGACGATATCCGGGGACGCGATGACAAACGAGTGCTTCGCGATGCGGCTGGTTCTTGGTACAGTGGTGATCGATTGGGGCTGCCAGTGATCGACGAGGATTGACGTGACGGCAACCCATGACGGCGGAGAGGCACAGTCCTGACTGTCGTGGACGGGTCTCTCGAAACGCTCTTCCTAAGAATCACCGCTACGAGTGTTTAATCGCGCGCGAGGCCGCTGGTCGCTGACGATAGAGAGAGAGAGAGAGAAATATCGACCGTAGTCGCCGAATTAAGCGCCGAAGGTCGCGACGAACACCGTTTCGCCTGGCCGTTGTCCTTCGGATCTCTCCGATCCGATCATCGGCGTCGCTCAGTCGACGATTCCCGCGAAGGACGAGCCGATGACCGACGACAACATGGCTCGGACACGGCTTCCCGAGCGATACCCGTCGACCCGGCAATCGCGCCAGCTCCTCGCGAAGCTCTTCGTCGAGACGATGCCCGCTCTTCGCGCTTCCCACGGGATCTCAAGCTACCCGTGATCGCGGTGCAGGACGGTGTGCTCTTCATGAAGAAATAAGTTCGCGAAAGTGCGCGGAGAAGCTCGAACCGCCGCGGACAGACAGCGATAGTCGGAAAATAATCGGGACTAATCCGATTTGCTGCGCGGCTTGTGAATGAAAGTGGCGGGTGAAACGCTGTTCCCGCACGATCATCTTCCTCAAGTATGCTCGCCATAGATCGCAACGGATACCAATCGCCATCCCACGTGACGCGCCGCTTCGCCAAAGCGACCTCGTATAGAAGCCGGGGAATTCTTAAGGTCGCTCGTTACGGTCGTTGATACGTCGGTCGGGTTCTCGCGCAACTCGGGAAATCGTTGCGAACCCGTGGAAAACGGATCGGTCGCGTTGTCGCTCAGTTGCTCGTCTCGCCGATAGTATACGCGCTTCCACATCCGAGAGATCGGTCGAACAGGTAGAACTCGCGCCGGGTCTAAGGACTTCGACCGCTACGCTCCCTCGCTCTTTCGAGGCTGCGCGTGAGGAAACGCGTGGTTGAATCGAAGCGACCCTCTCCGAACGAGACCCACTGACCTATCGACTCGGCAGGCTGCCACCCGAGACCGCCCCAACTACCCCTGTTCCACACTTTCCTCCTCGATGTTTATTGTCCTCGCTCCTGTCCGACCTGCAGCTCGCAGTTTCTCTCTCTGTTTCCGAATGCGTCCGACAATTACCCGCCTCGCTCGCGAGCGTGCAAACTCCGCCTTTCCTTGAACGTCCCGAAGAGGTTAATCGCGAGAAAACCTCCAATTGTGTACAACGATACCGAACGAGATCTTCCGAATATACCGTATAAAATCCGGCTTTTCTGCTCCTTCGTCTTGTTCCCTTTTCTTATTCCGAAACTGACAAATCGAATCCCACGAGAGAGAGAGAGAGAGAAGCGAGAGTCACTCGGTCGCGCGCGCGTCTGCTCGAAAAATTTCCCGGAGAAATCGATCGCGGCCGAATATGTCGGAAATACCGGGACCGAAATACCCCACGACATTGGCACGATTGCGATGCCGACACGTCGCGAAAGCGTGGCGCACCGATACGAGTCGTTAATAATCAACCCGGCGAGATAGACACACCGAGATAACTAATCGAACGCGAGCGACAACGAAAGGTAAAGAAGAGAAACGAGAACAAGAGATACATACATACATACATCGCGCGCTTCAAGAAGAGAGACGCGCTAAAGAGCTTTCCTCTTTAATCGCACGGACGATGATGATTATGGCGCACACGGAATGAAAATCAGCCCGCATTGATATAAACGTGAGCACGTACTTACGTACGAACGAGTGTACGTGGACGAGTATATAATGGGATAGAGAAAACCACGCGAGCGCTCGAGTAATCTCGAAATTGACTGTCCAACCAATTCATTCATCGTCATCTCGTCACTGGCCTCGACGTAACGCAACAACAACGACACTGTCCTCGGCGATTACCACATAGAAATGCCATAGTTCGTATTAGAATACCATTGCCGAGAGCAAACACCCGCGCGAGAAATGGCCGAGAGCGCGGCAAGTCCGGGTGCCGTGCACGTCGCTGCGAACAGTCCGCAGCAGCAGCAACAGCAGCAGCAACAACCACCACCACCGCAGCAGCAGTCACAGCAACAACAAGCGCAACAACCCCCGGATATAAGCAGCTCGCAGCTGACGTCGCCGCCAATCACGGGAACAGGTAGGGACGCACGGAGAGAGACCGAGAAAATCGTTCGTAGTTTCCTCTGATTTTGCCTGGCGACTCGGTTCTTAACGTTTAATCGATTTTTAATTAACGACGCGACAGGAAACTGGGAGAACCGAACGGACGAGAATGGAGAAAGACGGGAGTAATTGAGAATGTCAACAGAGCATTAAAGACGATGTGTTTTTACGCATTGGTTCTCGTGTGGTGAAAGACAAGCGCTCGTCTTGCGCGCAAATTTTTTAGAGACGACGACGTGCCAGTCAGAATCGTCGCTTCGTTATCCACTCGTTGCTTATGCTGAGAAAAAAATGTAGAACCAACGAAATTTTGCTCACGACGCGAGCAAAATTTTGTCAAACACAACGTTTAGTCCATTGAACAAATTGTATAGTTGCCGTAATGAAGTTGATTCAACGATTGCAACTTGGTCAGCGACTATGTCAATGCAACGTGTTGTTGCTTTAACGCGTAATTTCTTCAGTGTACGGAAAGAAAGAAGTAGCTCCTATACACGGAGAAAAAATTTTGCTAGAACGGCAAATAGTTAATATAGTGACAACGAGAAAAAATTTGTTTGGCAGAAAGATTTTTTTAAGAACGTTAATTGCTATTTGCTGGATAGATGGATAGCAAGATAATTTGGTTACACCGACTAAATTTTATTGCTGTCGCAACAACGTTTTGCTACAACAGTAAAATTACTTTTTCATATAATACAACTGAAATTAATCGACCTAGTTTTTAATTGTGAAAACTAATTCTTGTTTTTCTGTGTACGGCTATAGTCATAACTATATACGATTTAATCATAAAAATTAGCTGCCACAGCTGAAAATTAGGTCTGGTAATTAAGCATCCAGCCGTTTTATATGGATAGGTAGGTTTTTAGCTGTGGCAGTTTATTCGCTTCTTCCGTATGGACACAATATTTTTTTTAACAAGCGTGACCGCCAATTTTATCGATTCAACCGGCTATTTCCTCTCAGTTTATCGACGTAACGCGGCAATTCACAAAAGACGTTCTAAAGAATACCCGAAAAACTGGGGAAACTTTCACGACGTTTTCAGGCATTTGCATCGTCCGGATTATCGCACAGAAACGTGCTGCGTGATTTGCAAGTTGAATGACTCGATAACGGTACGGTTCGAATATCCACGATGAGAGTGAGAAAGAGGGGCACCGAAATTTCTTTCCTCTGAGGAGGGGAGAGGGGAGCGCGCGCTCCTCCTTCTCCTCTCAATACGACGTACGTCATTGAACTTGCAGCAGCGAGCACCTCGCGCTCTTCGATTCGTCGTCTTCTGGTATCATTTATACCGTAACGACGCGCTCTCGGGTCCACGATCTCGCTCGCGTAACCGCGTAATCGCGTTGGCGTAACGTCGAGCCATTACTTCGCTAGCACGCGAATCGCGCGGCGAGACGGAGCGGCTCGCGATACTTGTCCGGGTAGACGAGGGGCGGCGCGGTGTCGATGTCGGCGGCGACGGAGAAAGGAGCGAGGCGAGCAACGGGCGAGAAAGAGAGAGCGTGAGTCGCGTTAGCGGATCTGTCGGTCGAGTAACGGAACGCCGGCGAGTACCGCTAGCACCGGCTCTGACGCGGTTACCGTGCACCGTTACTTCTCCGATGCACGAGTATAGCCCCCACGTGCCGCCTCTCTCTCTCTCTCGTCATCCTCGTCGCGCCCGCTAGGGCGCCCCCGCGACAGAGAGGAGAGAGGGAGCACCTGACGAACGACCCGAAGGTATGAGGAGTCGTGGCCCGGTGGGAAAATTCGACGCAGTTATGCAAGCGAGAGCGGCGGCGACCACTCCGAGACGCGGCCCTTCTGCTGTAACGTGTCATTTAACGTTTAGCCTCTATGGCGTCTTGAAAGATATGCAAGTTGCGTATACCGACGGATAATTTTCATTTTAATTTTTAAAGACTCTCGATCGCTCATAATTCTCATGGGAGGAAAGATCGCGTTATAAGGCGTGCGAACCTTCGCGAAGCAACGATTGCGAGTTTGTGCATAGAGAAAAAGGTGCTAGAATCAAGTAAACATAACGATACCTGTTTTTCAGTTTTTCTTGAACGCAGTAATACTTTGTACATGATTTACTGAATTTAAATGTAAAATGGTTCTATATAAAAAAATTTAAATTATATACGTTACTTCTTTTCCATTGAAGAAATCTAGTGGTTTTAAATTTCGATTTTCCTGTCCATTAAATATTTTCTAAAAATAAATTCTGATATTCTCAATATTACATGGAAAAGAATCTGATGCATTAACCAGAAAGAAAGCAACCAAACGCGTTCTGGTTGAGGAAAACAGAATTTCTGGTTCTTATGACCTAAATATAGTTTTTATATTCAGAAATTTTGTTTTCTTCAACTAAACTGCATCTACCTGTTCCCTTTCTGGTTGATACAACCAAACTTTTTTTCCGTATATGAATACTTAATACTTGTCGCAATCGTTTTTAACACATACAAATAAATGTTTGCTTATACGAAGGAAATATATATATATATATAGCCAATTATATTTCTACTTCTAGTTAATATTTGCTGAAAAAAGTATTAAAGTAACCATTTTACTTGAATCAAATAAATATAACTTAAACGGTAGCACTTTTTATCAGAGTGTTAATAAGCTGAACATACGTTGTATGTTAACACATATATATATTGTATGTTAACATATGTATACATATACATATATACATATATATACACGTATAGCCTGTTGTAGAATATTAAAATATTCTCCGACATGCTACGCTTATTAGACCGAGTCGTTGAATTAGAAACGCTCCGGACAATTGGCCTTTGAACTTACGAGGTAAAATAAAACACACGTCGTGCGAGACCGTGTGTACCGAGTGAATGATTATTTATTAAATATACAGCGCGATTCGACGTAGAAATGAAAATTACTGCTGCTGGATATTCGACGATTATTGAGCGTTATCGCGTCGTGCGTCGCGGTTAAACTCACAATATTTACCGCTACGTTTTACGTTTGGCGCTCGCTCGACTGCGCCTGTCCGCAGGATGCCGGTGTAAATAAAACGATCGGTCGTCGTTGGGGTGATATTAAAATATAACGGGTAACGAGAAAGAGAGAGAGAGAGAGAGAGACGCGCTGCAGCATTACATCGATAATCGCCAACCCCGTGGCTCTTACGTGACGCATTAGTACGTCAATAGTCGGCGACACATTGATTTTGCATGACGTAGCGATACGTCAATGGTCGGTGTAACGCAACGGTAGATTTCACGCGACACGCTAGATAGTACCACCGACGCCGTTTAGCGGCGGCTAAACCTTCTTTTTTTACCGACTATATTATAGCCCCGGCACTATCGTCTGCGAGAGGACGGGCGGACGATTAAACTACAGTTAACGTTACAACTTACGTCAGTGCGAATCCGGCCGGTAATAACATGCCAATGGTCGGGGAAATTTTTAACTGCGTAATTATCATCCGTCCGGCTGGCGGTAGTCCGCGATCGATCGACGTACGCGAGTCGAAATTACTGATCGCCTCGGTTTTAATCGGCAATTAAAAGCCATCAAACGCGATGCAAATTTCACCGTGCGGCCAATAAGCAGATTATTAACGTCGTCAATCGAGGCCCCATAATCGCTGGAGAAGCGCGTCGTCGCGGATGCTTTTACGACGAAAGCCTTATCAGCGACGTTCGCTTAAGACTCTCGGGGACTCGGGTTTGTACCGGTAGGGGCGTGAATACCGGTTATCCGGTGGACAATTTTTCCCGACAGTTACGATTATACGACGAGGTTCACGCTACTCTGTCGCGCGTTAAAAGCGCCGTTTGATCGCGCTGCGCGCACGCTCGCTCGCTCTCACACGCGCGCGCACGCACGAGCGCGGCGTAAAATTACGCGTAACGGAAAAGACGAACCGCGCGAGAAGACGCGATCGCGTGCTCGCTCGTGTCCCGCGGGTCTAGGGGTTAGGAGGTCGAGCTCCTTGTCGTTTTACCGTTCGTGTCCGGGAGAATCCCCGGTGCATTCCCCGACGGTATTACTATTATCGTTATTATTATTGTAGCCTCGAGACTGCGCCGCCGCCGCCACCGCCGCTATCGACCGGCTCTCCGCTTAACGTGACTGATTGCGGGAACGGTGCGGATTTAAAGCCGGCGGTGGCGACGCACGACAGGTTCCCGTCTCTCGTTATTGATAGTTTCGAATTCCGTCGCTATTATTAGCATTCCAGAAACTAAGTAATAAGTCACACCGTGCGTTCGTGCTGTGTGATGGCCGCGAGTTTCACCCACGTCCCTCCTGTTCGCGTGCTTTCACGAATTCAATACTTCCTCTCGATACGGTGCGGTGTATACGATTGAGAAATATGAAAATTCGATTTTTAGGACGCTCTAAGTCTAAAAGGTGTCCTCTGTGAAGTTCAACGCTCTCGAATAAACGTCATCTGAATCTATCTTATTGTGCGCAAACCGCGTTTTAATTTTATCATTTTCATTTATTCTCGGGAAAAAATGATTATATATGATTATATATAATTATATAAAACCATATATGAATTTTGCCCATATATGCCTATGTGAAAAAATGATATGTTATTTAATTAAATGTCGATATATCATGTGCTGTCAGAAGCACAAGTAGTCCGAAGCATTTATTCCGATTGTATTTGCATGTAATCTGTAAACAACAGTATTTTTTCGTTGTGGATATATATGATTATATATAGTCATATATGGCCAAATTTTATATATGATCTTTTCTTCCCGGGATTTCATGTAAATTTTTTCGTTTTTCTTTTTCTTTTTCGTTTTCCAGTTACGAAATTAAGATTGAGACTCCGATTAACCTTAGAAACTTCGTAAACGTGAAAGTGTAATAAAAATTTGTTCGATCCCCGGTTTCAATAATAATTAACGTTTCTATAAAAACAAACAACTGAATCTGCACGTCATCGAGATTTGTGTTCCCTTGTACCGTGGAAAA